GCACCTACAGTTGGCTGTCCGCAGCGACGAGGAGCTCAACAAGCTGCTGGGAGGAGTGGCCATCGCTCTGGGAGGAGTTCAGCCCAGCATTCAGGCGGTCCTACAGTCCGGGGGAACTGAGAGGCCAGCCGAGTCTGGATGGACGGATCGGACGGCATCTGCAGCCAGTTTCTTAGGATCCACTGTGGGATGGACCTTTACAAGAGATCCTTCCTGTCTACAGACATCAGCATCTATAACATCTCTTAATGAAATGAGGATAACGAGTTACAACAACAAAAAAAAAATTTCCTTTTGGGATTAATAAAGTATTTTTGAATTTGAATTTGAATTGAAACTTTCTCACAAATATCAACATGGAGGAACAAATCACATTTCTTAGATCCTGATTTGTGGTGACTAAAAATAAAATAAAATATCTGGTATTTTAGTTCAACTCACAAACAAACGCTGCAGGATGCGAGTGAAGGAAACCGATTGTGGGATTGTTTCCTTTCTTCAGAAAGTTAAAACTTTAAACTGTCAGAGTGAAGCCGGCAGTTTGTCGGACAAACTTCATATATTAAGGCTCCGTCGTCAGGACTTTTCTCTTCCATTCGCCTGCTGAAGTGCCGAGAAAAGACTTTATATTGCTGCATATTTTAGCTCGGTGCACCACAGAGAGAACGGCGAGAGGCTCAGGAGACGAGGTTTCCTCCTTCAATGCAGATTTGCCTCGTGTTTGTTTCAAGGTGGGGGTGGGAGGCAGCTCTTTAGAAATGGACACACCAAATGATTTAAAAAAAATAGGCATCAGACGGGGAAGAGAGGGGATTTAGACGAGACGGAGAGCTGCGTTGTAGTCATCACTTTTGCAGCGTGCCACACATTTTGAATCCTCTCTATCTATTAATTTTCTGCTTCTGTATTTGAGAAGCTCTATAAATATGTAGAACAGCCCGATGATGAAATTCCTATTCAAGCAACTGCAAAGTAAGAAGAACTGTCGTTCCGCCCTGAGATGAAGACAAATCCTGATGGCTTTTCTAATCGAGCGCAGGAGGACAGCTGGGAATCACCTCAGCTGCAGCCGAGGGGAATAAACTGAGGCTGGTGGCTAACTGGTGTTAGCAAGAAATCAAAACCAACAGAGAACGAGACGGCAACCTCAACCATCTCTTTATATGTTTAGATCCCCGTTTATAAAATCCTTGGGACTTTGTTTATCAATAAAAACGGAACGTAATGATTTGCAAATCTCATAAATCCATTTTTTGTTCATTCATAATGGAACACTGCAGACGCTGAATGTTGAAACGTAGATATTATCCTTTTTTATCAAAGGAAAGATTGAATTTGATGACGGCAACACATCACAAAATGTATTCCAGCAGCATAAATAAGAAACAGCTGGAGGAACATTTTGCACCTGGTCAGGTTAATTTAGTCAGAGGAGTGGGTATAAAAAGACTTTTAAAAGGTTAAAACTCTCAGAA